GAACGATGTCTAGGCATGGAAGAAAAGCCTCTAATACTTTTCAAACAACTCGACAAAGAAGGTAAAAAGCCTATGTTCATGTTGCGGAAATTAACCTCAAATACGGATGTACAACCTGGCGATATTCCCGGCAGTGCAGGATTGGATAGAAATATCGGTCGGTCACATCAAAACACCTCATACGACCCGCCTGGTGGAATCATATAAAGCATTATATCACTATTCGGCGCCAGAATAGCGCAGAACTATCGGAATCCTTGGAGTTGTTGTGCCCTGCTTTACTGCATAGCGTAATCGAATCGAATCTAGACGGCAGCACGTTTATTTGTTTTGCGGTCAAAAATCCACTGCCGGTGTATGTATATTGGATTTGGTCTGGGAAATATTTTGATGTTTGGGCAAGGGAAATGCAACTGATGGATCAGTCTGGGAATAGCACGTCATGTTGTTTTGATCACGGCGATTGATTGAGCGAAATCGAAATTTGCCTTATGCCAGTATTTACGCGTGGTGTTCACATTGTCGTTTTCTACTATTGGTTTTCGCTTGTTCGGAGCATTTGAGCAAAGACGAAACTGCACGGATGTTCGTTTACGGTATGGTATCTACGATGAGATAGGAGTTTGGGATCTGCTCATCATCGGATGAGATGCTACGGAATGCGTATGTAGAAGGAAGAGTTGACTTAGGCTCATCATGACTCAGCCAGTCGGGACTTGTGCGGGTCGGTGATTGATGCTAGTACGGTACGATGTAGGGAGGGAGAATTTGAATGAATTGATTTTCATACATGTGCTCTGCGTCTGTTTGTCTATGCATTGATATGCCTCGAGTCAGTGACGTCTGCTTGCGAAACTGTATGTGAATGGACGTCATGAAGCCACCACTTTGGTCCCATAACCCGCTCGAAACATGGTGAGAGAGAGGAAATAAACTTTCGGAGGTTTATTTTCTTATTTCTGTTTTTCTTCTTCAGATGTCCGCTCGAATCACTGCCACCTCAAGTCTGTTGGCACGAACACAAGATGGTAGTCTAGGTAAAAGGAGCTTAACCTCGAGCGTGCGGTCGTCCGCTACTCGATGGTTCCTATCCATCTTGAAACAAACTCGGACATCCGTTTTGGGTTGAGCTGTGAAGTCGGTAAATGCCGAGCTAGTCACAACGTGGGTGGATGTGAGACGAGGCCGTAGCTCCTATCTGGGTGAACCTGAATAGGTTCGGACGCCGATTTTAAGGTGCGAGTAAGCTTTGAGCTTTAAGCTTGGGGTCAGATCTATGCACGTGGCGTGACGTGAAGATCTGTATCTCGAAAGTGAAGCGATATAGATATTCCCGAAGTACTTCCACTTTTCTCATCTCAAAAATACAGCATTTCTCTCTTCATCGTAACTTGGGCTCCAAAGCCTTACTGAATGCGTTCGTCAGATCGTCTTCATGGCCTAGATCAGATCTCCTGATCTAGACTTTCCTTCTCTCCTTCTGGTAGTTGAGTTGACGATCTCTCGTCAAGCTGAAACGCGAATTGTGGGTGTTTGCCAGGGACGGCGGATGATCTCCAATTGATGAAATTTCCCCACAGTGAGAAAAGCGTGGTTAATGCCGATGGGGTTTGTTTCGTATTTGGACAACAAGGTCGTGATGGAGATAGTCTCCGGCGGGATGTGGTTGGTATGTTTTGGTGTGTGATGGAGGATGTTGATGCTGGGTCGTAATAGAGGAAGACAAGCGAGAACCTAGGCGGATGCCATCAATGAAGGCAATACACGAATAGTCATAGGATAATGAGGCTCAACAAAAAAAAAAGAACGAGATGAATTCGTTGTGGAGGCGTTGAATGGAAGGTATCGAACATCAGAGCTAGTAGTGGGAGGTGTGTATACGGAGCCGTATAAGTCGATAAGAAACGATTTTCTGAGTTTTTGTAGAGTTTGAAGAATCGCTTTGTGCTCTGTTTGTTGATGTGAGTTGTGTAAAGATATACGGGACACGGTGTTAGGGTGGGGAAGCGTAAGTGCAGTGAGAATGGAAGGAGCGAAAGGGAAGATACAAAATTGGCAAGAACTAATATTTCACAGCATACAAGTCCGGAAGAGAAGTCTCGATGAAGGAAAACTTCATGTGCGGAATTTTGAATCTTCTGAATTAAAATGCATGTCGCTGTTGTCGTTCAAGTTAATAGTTCTCACACCGCCTTGAAACCCGAAAGCCACAATAAAATCCACCACCACGACGACCACCACCTGCCTAATATAATGTCAAACAATCAGATACATGTCACATACGACCATAGACTAAGGAGAATTGGGCATCCCGTCCGCTCTGCCATACACAAGCCTTAGATCGGTGGATTAGTAGTTGGGTGGGTGACCACCAGCGAATACCCACTGTTGTATGTTTTGCATTTTCAAATTTTTTATCACACTTCCTCGTGCTTCCACTGAAACAGTTTTTCTTATTGGAAGGGAAAGGGTAACAAGAGTAGTTAAATTGGTTTCTTTCACAAGAACATTCAAGAATCTGGCAAGCTTTTTGCAAATTTGAAAGGTTAAATTTCACTACCACGGTGACCTCCCGCGGATCGAAGCGAGGCAGGCTCTGAGCTATCCTACAAGACTAGTAGAAAGTAGAAAACCTTTCCTATCCTGTCTATTTGCTTACTTCACTTAGTAGCAAAGCCCAGCGGCATACCAACAAGATACTTCTGTTTGGAAGTTGCGTTCCCGTCGCCATCTACCCCTTGTGCCCCGAGAATCTGGATGTATGCATCAGCCTGGAAGACAAGGACGATATCAGACCCGCCAAACTCGAAGTGTGAAATCTCGTCACCCTTCTTAATTGGCACATTGGGATTAATAGGATAGCTCCCACCGGCTGGCGGCTCCCAGGCAAGTTTGACAGACGAGACTTGTGCCATTCCAATGGGCAGTACGGCAACGTAACCAAGAGTATCACTTTGAATGATCACACAACCTCGAGACTGTAGGAACTGGTAGCCAGCGTTGTCTGGGGCGTCAAGCTGATCTCCGATGAAGCTGCGCTGCTGTCGAAGTGTGCCATCTGGGTCTGCTTGGACATTCAGATATGCTTGGCCCTGAATCACGTTGGCCTCGACAACGGTCCCACCTACAGGTGCATGCTGACGGTGGTAGTCGAAAGTGTTCAGAAAAGCGTGCATCCACTGGCCGCCTATGAACTTGCTTGCATACTGACTCCCAGCCAGAAGGTCATTGACTGACCAGGAGAGGCCTTTGATCGTCACGACGTCGTTCTGGTTAATGCCCCAAGCTCCGTCAAACGTTGAGTCAGCAGGATATACGACAACTCTGTCATCCGAAGGACAGCTGATAGGACGCATTCCCGGTTTCAAAAAGCGGGAAAAGAGTTGATTGAATGATGTGAAGCCTCCGGTTGGCACCGCAACCTCGTCATAGTTGTACTTTGGAGAATTTTGAAAGGTTTCGATTGATTGTTGGCTAATTGAACCTTGCGTATCCATGTACGCTCCGACCTTGGTTGCAAAGTCAACAACCCATTGGCTTAGAGGCAATAGCGATTGACCAATTGATGTAGGAATGATCGGGGTCGAAAGGGGAGGGCCGTTGAGGGGCGGCTGGTCCAGGATGAAATAGAAGAGACAAAGGGTCCAATAGATCATTTTGCCATTGCAGGTTTCGGAAGGCGTCCAATTCATCATCCCACTTGCGAATAGTAGGAAGCTGTTGCTGTCAATGACCCCCCAATCCTGCATTTGTGGAATGTTTTGGGCCAAGGCGTATTTCACTGCCTGGTTGAGAGGGGTCGTGTCATTCTGAAGAACCCCTACGACGAGAGACGATTGGATCCAGGGATCTATCGCAGCTGGGAGAGGAAAGGGAGGAGGGTCTGACGATCCACATTTTTGCGGCATGATGAGATTGACTGCTCAAGAATGAGAGCAAATGTTAAATGATATGAAGGGATGTGCTGTGTAGGATACTACTCTTGGGTGGTCGGGGCTATACAATAGCATAGTACTTATACTCATTGTTTCCTGGATTGAGCTTACCTGAGGACTAACATTCACCTGTACGTTCGCTACACAATTCCATAACAGTCCAGGTGTTTTTTGCAGGCTTGTTTTTGTTCATAGTGTCGCTTGTGAATCTTTTCCTATTGGGGGCCTCTATGCAGATGCAGCCCTACAGATGGGTCTCGCCGTGGATGTGGGATGGGACAGGCCGTAGTTGCAATCGTGACAGTAAAGGTGAGTTTGTAGCCTGTCGATTAGAAGCGGTATATTATCAGCTTGATTCAGCAAGCCTTCGCTAACTTTCGTGCATCCAAAGGAGCAGGACTAACAGACTAACTTTCTTCAAAAACCTGTTTCTTGAGGAACTTCATGCTTATTTGCAGCTTTACGGAGCCAATGATGGCCACGATTTGAAGAAGTGTGCTGTTGATGATGATAGTCGTCGAATTGCGATGAGTAGCTCTGTCACAACTGGGTCATTGTCAACTAGAGAAGAGCTGAGGATCGAAGAGATCGAGGTGTGCAAGCTATATGTAAGCGCGCTAGTAGTCTTCACTCCTTCCCATTCAACCTGGAATCTAATTCCTGAAGCAAATCTCCCCGCACATGTGAATAAGACTTCCCAGCCGCGAATTGATAAGCGATCTATGAAACTTCAAGGGCTGTACCATGTGAGAAGAGCTCGCCTGTGACCAAGCATAAAGCGCGGAAGCGACTAGAATTCGAGCAAAGAAATAATAGAACAGAAACTTGGTAGCATTCCCCGAAACCAGGGCAGTAAAGATGGAAGCTGAGGCGTTTATTTCCCTTAAATTGTGGTCGTGCGTGAAAGGCCTTCGTTCATGTGAATTTATAAATCGTTGGTGGAAATAGACACTCGACAACTGCTTCGCCATTAAAATATCATGTACTAATAGAGATAGTAAATCATCGAAGGAAGTAAGAAGTCTTCTCGCAAAAATAAAAAAAATCATAAAATGCTTGCTTACTTCCCAAATCGGGGGATCGAACCCCGGTCTCGAGCGATGGATCTGCCGAAACAGACTTGAAATGCTCGAATGCTCCCACTGCACCAATTTGGATTTGACGTGATTGTCTCGCTCAATATCAACTCGACTTTTGAGTGACACCTCTTCTGTTAAGTCTGTTTCAAATCGGGGGGTCGAACCCCGGTCTCGAGCGGAAAGAAGCCTTTAAGAACTCGAATGCTACCACTACACCAATTTGAATTTACAGTGTTTGTTGAGGCTATCGAGCTTATTCCGGTTATTAAGGTGGCTTTTGATTGGGGCAGACAGGGTTTGAGACATGTCTGAAAGCGAGGTATGCCCGGCCTTGGAGTGTGGTGGCCCAGTTAGGCAGAAGGACTGGGGCTGGAGTTGGGTTAGAACACTTGAAGTAAGTTGCTACAGTCACTTCGGACTCATGAAGCAAATGCTATTGGCCCAAAGGTGATTCTTAAATAATTTTGATTGTGTATCTTGACTATTCTTACTAGCCTGTTGTGGTCGTAAATTCTCATGCCGATGTGAAATGAGTAACACCTCCCAAATGATGTGAACTCCAATGCATACCATGCAATCGTACCCCTAAACGTTATAAAATTCATACGTGGTATCATCTAAAAGAAAACACTCCTCTTCTTCTGCATCTTCTTCCCTCCACTACCTAGCCCAAAGAATCCACTCGAGCTCGCCGTCTCATTCCCAGGTGCCTGCAAATATGGTCCAGAGGTGCTCCCACCAAGCCAAGTGTTCAAACTAGGATGCGGTTGTCCTTGTGTCTGAGGTGTGCTAGTTGGCCTTTGGACCGGTGGAGGTTGGGAATGTGGTGCACTCTGATGTTGTGGCATCTGCCCCGAGAACCCTGGTTGTTGCGGAGGTGCTCCACTTGTACGGGATGGAAGAGGTGGATGGAATTGCGTTTCTGCTGGGACGCCATATTGTTTTCTTAGACGCTCAGTCTCTTTATCGACTTCTGCTTTTCGTCGTTGACGCTCTTTCTCTTCTTCTTCTAGCATCTTTTTTATTCGTTTTTGCTCTATCTTTTCTGCTCGCTCGCGCTCTTTCTTTGCGGCTTCCTCACGCTGTTGTTCTGCTTTAACCATGGCTTGCAATCTTGCAGTCTCGGCATTAATCTCCCATTCCGTTCGAGGATCTGCTGGTGGAGGTCGAGAATCTCGCCGGGGTGGTTTGTTTGCTTGCTGAGGAGGGATTTGTGATTGGGGAATGTTGTTCATATTGTTAATTCGTGGTGGACTCGAGGAGAAGACTGCTCCGGTCATCATTGGAGGCGAAGAAGTTTTTCCAGCACCCGCTTTTCCAGGACCAGCAATGACTGGCCCACTGTTCTTCCGTCTTGTGCCTGTCATTGTTGGCGAGCTGATATTGAACATCTCCCTATTTGCGTTGAAAAAGATGTCCTTGATAACCGCCGCACCCAATATCAAAACCACCTCCAAACCCTTAACATCCTCGACATCAACTCGGTGCATATTTGGCTCGTAAATTGTCAAGTGGTTCTGATCTTTGGAGCTTTTGTGCATCGCAACCGTAATATCTGGTTCCTTCTGCTTCTTCCCATCATTCGTTTTGCCGGAGAGGTAACATGATATATCCTTCGACAATTTTCCATCCCTCTTCCACTTGAACCCAATTTTTGGCGTAATAGCTGAGATTGCTGGGTCGTTCTGGCTTCGATCAAGTGCTGACACCGAAGGAAGCCGGAAACTGTTCTGCGGCATCTCAAATTCCCAATATGCAGAGCTAAACGTTGACCCAGGTATCTGCTTGACTATCACTTGTTGATCTGGATTGTAAAGCTGTATTGTGAAGCTGGTCGGTACGATCGGTACAGGAGGAGGCGGTATGCCATTTTGGGCTCGAATCTCGGCCGTTGACAGAGTTGGCTGTGTCCATTCTGGCTGCACCAGAACTTCTGCATATAAGACTTCGGGATTGTAGGAATCGTACAGAGCTACTCCGTAGCAGTTCTTCGCTGCCGGGAGATTCGGGTCCGGGCGTCGAAAGGTATATTCGGGCTGTAGCTCGGAGCCACTCTTAGAGAGGAAGATAGTGGTTGACAGCGGGTTATCGGAGTTCTGTTTGAAAAAGAAAGTTGGAAGATTCTCGTCCAACATCGTGCCTGTATGTGGCTGCCGGCTGCAGCAGATATGTAGTTGTTGGGATCAGGGAAGGTTAAAGTGTGATGTGGCAAGCTCTTGACTTGTAGATTCTGGAAAGTTAGATCTAGGTAGGAGAGGTGCTTGGTTGATGGACGAAGCTAAGAAATGAGAGGTTCATGATCATAAGAGACAGCGGATCGGTTCGTTAGATGACTGCGCAGACTTGCGCAGCTATCTGGTGAATGAATCGTGGGGCTGACGAGTCGTTGCAATGCGATGAGGCTGAGCCTCGCCAAATGTTCAGCGTCTTCAAATGTTTCGGTCGACAACTCCAAACATGCAGCTGATTGGCCTCTATTTCGGGAACCGTGCACAACGTCGAGGAAGCGTGCCGATCACGTGGATCTTATCCAATATATCCGGAGCAGTTTGCGCCAGTCCTGCAGCCAAGTCGAAGGATTCTTTTGCGTCGCAAGACAATGATGCGTTCATGAGGTAAACATAAAGCCTGTGCCGAGTCGGAAGTCGGATAGGCGCGTCTTTCGGAACGGTTGGGTACATCACCCACTCGGGATTTAGTTGACTTTAGCCTCATCTCTGCTTCAAACCTTACGTGCACCACAATTCTTATGAGAGTGTAACATTGGTATCGTCTTATCAGAACTTATATTATTCAGTCTGGATTGCTAAGACATACTTCAAGGCTTCTCCTTTGGCCTTCTCGTCATCATTATAAATAGGTATACGTGATCGTCCCCTGGTTATGCTCCGCGCTATGCATGCAAAACCTCTCTCATCGAGACGACCAAGCTCCAGGCCTGCCGTCTCAAAGTTATATGTACACTGAAACCCTCAACTCATATACAACTCTTCTATACACACCTTAGCCGATCAAGTCTTAATCGATCCCGGTTTTCTTGTTCAGTATCTCGCTTGGTACGCGAGAACCTCTTGAGATCTGAATCTCGTCTCCGGGATGGAACTTGAAGACTGGGTCTTCGCTCATATTCCTTTGGTGGTTGAAGCCAATTTGAAGTGAGTTGGGTATGACTGGAACCGGAACATTAGGAATCTCTGGGACTTCGGTGGCTTGTTTCTTTTCAATCCGGCCACTCTGTTGAGCCACCCATGAGTTGACTGTTCGAAAGCGTGGAGCAGATTCCTCAGACGTGGTAGTGTAGACAGTATCACGATCTCTTGTTGCTGTTCGTGCCCATGAAAACCTGCTAGCACCAGGGGCCTGCGCTTGACTTTGACGAGAGTTGGGATTGGTCATTCCGTCAGGCATGATGAGACCATCACCAAAGCCCGACGAAAGAGACGAGAGATAGCTCATGTGCTGCATCTGGTTCGTATTCTGAAGATTTGTTGTTTGTTGAGAAAGAAAAGTGCCTTGAGTGGCCATTGTACCATTCGCATTTGTCGCGTTTGATTGTTGCCGTGATAGCATCGTGTTTCGTCGTCCGGTATTATTGTAGTCGGCCTGTGTTTCCGGTGAAGTTTGTTGTTGTGAGTATCCCATAGGTGCGGAGTTGGCTAGTAGATCTCCTCTTTGAGAGCCAGAACGAGATAGCCCCTGGCCAGCCGCCGTCTCAGGTCTCGCCAGCTGTTGAGCTGCAGATGGTGCGAAAGCGCCATCATATTCTCGTTGTTCTTTGCCCTCTTTCTCAAACTCGGCATAGTCGAATGGTTCTTCACGATACTTGGGTGGAGCGTCTGACATGTAGGCATCCCTATCCCTACTCTCTCTTCTCCAACCATAGATTCCACGACTTCCCCCTCTTCGGATTTGACGGTTTCTCACACTCGAGAATGGGTCAATCTTCTTCATCCGCAAAATGAAATAAACAGCAGCAAGAACGATGATGAATGCACCTGTTAGATGAAATGTTAGTTACGTCATATAATTTTACAGAATCGTCGTGCTTACCTATGGCTCCAGCAGCAATCAAGAGACGCTCTGATGTTGGTGATAAACCGTTGTCGCCCTTCTTATCTTTATCTTTGTTGTTATCCTTGTTGCGATGTGGTTGGCCACTGGGTTGAGACTGCGACGGTGGCTCAAGAACGCTTTGAGGTAGCACAATTGTTTGCGTAGGTGCTGTGGATGTTTTCGTTCTGGTCTTCCCTGATGATGATGAATCCGTCGGTGTCTCAGTTTCTAATCCTTTTCGAGGCTGACTTGACGTGTCGGACTGTGAGGCGAACTGAGGTTGAGGTATTTGTGAAAATATCGATGGATTTGGTGCAATTGTGGTAGGAAACAATGAAGCAGCGGGAGGCTATTCGCAATTAGTACATTTATATACAGGTGAGAGTAATGTTAGTAGCCTACAGATGAAGTGGTAGAAGGAGCAGCGGCAGCAACGGTGGAGGTGATCACAACCGTGGTTGGAGTGGTACTCGCCGCGGCTGCTGAAGTCATAATTATAGTAGTGGTTGCAGGCTGAGGAGGTTCAAGAGGTCCATTAGGAGATGGTTGAGGTCCGTTGTCTTTCGCACTGGGGTTTTTATCCCCGTTGTTGTTTCCACCTCCACCTCCCCCTGACCCATCCCCGTTACTCTTGTTCTTGTTGTTGTTGCTTCCACCACCTCCACCCCCATCGTTCTTGTTGTTATTCGATGAGTCCCCATTTCCACCGCCGTTTGAGTTGCTGTTGCTCCCATCCTTTCCCTGATCCCGACCGTTCTTCTTGCCATCGCCATTGCTACTATTGCTCCCACTGTCGTCCTTCCTTCTTCTCAACTGACTGTCCTCCATAAGACCATGCCGCCGCCTCAGATCCTCCATTGTGGCTTGCGGTAATTGGTCTAGTGGCGCCATTGTCGTATTCATCCTCCGCAAAAGGTACGACAATTCTACCGATGGGACGCCAGAATGCTGAAAACCTTGAGCATACACGGATGCTCAAAACTGAAAGTAAGTCGCTGCAAGGATACCGTCAACAGATTCCCGGT